AGACGGGTACACTCCCACTGTCACACAGACAGACAAAGATGGAGACACTCCCACTGTCAGACTGACAGGCACAGACGGATACACTGTCACTGTCATACAGATAAACACAGACGGAAACTCTGCCACTGTCACACTGACAGACACACAGTATACACTCTGACACACATGCACAAACACATATAGATGTGCACTCACACTAACACAACAAAAACACATAAATCAAACTGTCATACTCACATACTCATACACAAATTCACCCATGCACATACAAGTACACTGCCTCACACAGCAGATAAACTCTGACACTCACAGGCAAATAAGTGCTGACATTCACACAGTGCACTTTCTCCAACACATACAAATACTCACATTTGCACACACAAGCAAATGCACAGATACACATACATTTACACATACAATCTCAGACACAGATATATTCCATCTTTCACACACACACACACAGTCACTTTCTTATACAAACATGTGCACATAGCCATTTTCAGACCATACACGAACAAGCACGCGCGCGCACACACACGCACACACACACTCACACACGTGCACACACTCAGAGGTATGCAAACAGCCACATTGAGACACACATAGAATGAAACAAATCTTAAAAGGATTTCTCTGCCCCTTTTGGTGGCATTAATAAAATAAATGACTGTTTGTCTTTGTTTGCAGGGATTTGCTGAGGATAGGGGTCACTTTGGCTGGTCACCAGAAGAAAATACTGAACAGTATTCAGTCAATGAGAGGTCAGATCAGCCAATCACCTTCGGCTATGGCATGACAACACTGGATCTCTGGGACATGTCTAAACAGCACTGGAGGAGCAAAGAAAGACACAGACTGTTTCTCATGGCTCAGACTCCTCTTATGAAGGAAACACATCGTTACTGTCTACAAGACGATCCTATTGAGAAATCATGCATTCCGCCTTTAAAAATAACAGTTTCAAGATCTAATCGGATAATCTTTTTTTAAAAAGAAAAACACTTTGCCCCTTCATGAAATCAGGGTCTGTGAAACTAGAATCAAATGAACATCCCATTATTCCAAAGAACATGCTGTGATATTCTTTTAACGTTCGTTAGATGCATTTCTTTTTTCTTCGTGAGTGATGTTCTTCAGATGTCAGTGCCAAGATACTACCCCCTTCCCGAAGATGGATTCTGATCCTTTATATCTTCATATTGAAGATGATAAGACGCAATCATTCCTTGCTTGCATTCTCTGCAACAGTGTCTGTGTTTTGATAGCAATGACTCTGAGTGCTGGCAAAACTCAAGCCAGCCGCACTTGTACAAAGAGGGAAGCAGGTATTTAACGGATTAGATACACCAGGCTTGAGCTTGTGGCCGGCAAGTGTCGACGATCATACTTCTTATGAATTGTTTTGATGAACTGTACAGAAAAGATGTGATTCTTTGGCAAGCGGTACAAGCAATGCAGCCGCTGACTTTGCTTGCAGTTGACAGGAGAGGTGTCAGACAGTGATACAAAGTACCTCTGGTGTCACGTTGCACCGCTCATCAATTGACTTATTTTGGACGTTTTACTTTGTGTGTTGGTGCTTGTCTGAATTCTAGTGATGTCCATTCAACCCAGTGCTCAGAACTTTGCTGCTTCAACTTGCTGGTAAGTCGAGATGTTGTGGGGTTCCCGTGTTTCTTGTTGACAGCAGGATGTTGGATACTCAGAAACCCTTCCTGCAGCCAACCCGATTGGCTACTAAAGTTCCGGAGTTTAACTTCCAGGACATCCTGTGCCCCACAGTATGGAGGCTTCTTTGGTGCCTTGTCCCCATCAAATGTTGAAATGTTACCATTCTTCGATGCGATGATTATCAGGAAACCAGCTCAGAGTCAGTCTTGTCGTTCCCATGTGGAAATCCTGAACAAATTGCTGCCTGTCCTTAGTTTGTGCCAAAGCTTCAACCAGTCACAACACAACCTACATGTAATATCTTTTAATGAAATGTCCCATGAATCCACAGAGTCTTTGGGAACAAAGTAATGATATCGAACCATACAGGTAGAATGTATGACCAGAAGCTTGGTCGAGGAGGTAGGTTTTCACAAGTTTCTTAAAGGAAGAGAGTGAGGGAGAGAAGTGAAGAGGTGTGGGGAGGGAGGACCCTGAACAGCATTGATGCACAAAGGAATTTTGGGGTTGAAGTCCATAGCTCCTTGAAGGTAGCAACACAAGTAGATAGTGTGGTAAAGAAGACGTATGGTATACTTGCTTTATTGGTTGGGGCATTGAGTACAAGAATCAGGATGTCATATTACAGCTTTATAAGACTTTGGTTAGGCCAAATTTAGAGTATTGCGTTCAATTACAGGAAGGACATGAAGGCTTTGGAGAGGATGCAGAAGAAGTTTATCAGGATGCTCCCTGGACTAGCGGGTATAAACTATAAGGAGAGGCTAGAAAAACTCAGGTTATTTTCTTTTGAGCGGCAGAGCCTGAGTGGAGATTTGATAGAAGTCTATAAAATTATGAGACGTATAGTTAACATTGACAGAATCTTTTTCCCCGAATTGAAATATCTAATACTTGGGGGCGTACATTTAAGGTGAGAGGGGGAAAGTTCAAAGGAGATGTGAAGGGCAAGTGTTTTACACAAGAGTGGTAGAAGTCTGGAACGCAATGCCAGGGGTAGTGGTAGAGGCAGATACAATAGGGATATTTAAGAGGCTTTTAGATAAGCACACGAATGTGCAAGGAATGGAGGGATATGGACCATGGGCAGGCAGAAGGGCTTAGTTTAACTTGACATCATGTTCGGCTTAACATTGTGGACTGAAACGCCTGTTCCTGTGCTGTCCTGTTCTGTGTTCTATAATTTCAGAGTTTAGAGCAAAGGTAACAGAGCGCATGGCCACCAGCAGTGGAGGGGTTGTGATCTGTGATGCATAAGACAGCATGATTAGAGGTTTGCAGATATCTTGGAGAATAGTGGGCTGGGGGTGACTAAAGAAATAGGGAGGGTGCTGCCATGGAGGGATTTGAGAACAAAGATGAGAATTTTAAAGTGCACACATTGCGTGACTAGGAGCCAGTGTGGGTCGGCAAACTGTGGGGTTGACAGTGAGTGGGATTAGCTGCAAGTTCAGAGAAGGGCCGCAGAGTTTTGGATGTTCTTCAGTTCATTGGAGATTAAATTATGTAGAGCCTAGCCAGGAGTGTGTTGCAATAATCAATAGGATACAGAGGTATGGTTGAGGATTTCAGCAGCAGATGAGCTGAGATGTGCAAAGAGTTAAATAGAAAGTAATTCAGATCCTGCCTTTTTCACCCACTATTTTGTTTCATTTAAGTATCTGGGAGCACAAAGAGATAATTGGTGCTTTCAGGTCTGTTGGGTAATCAGGACTCTGGAACAAAAGTAAACAAGTAGAGTTAAGAATCAGCACCTGAATGATTCAGCAACCTCAAGTTGTCTACTTTTGATCAGAAAGTTTCCATCGGCAGCTCTGAGTGTTCTCAGTCCACCGATCTCCAAGATCTAGAAGAGAAACTCCTTATGTAATTAAGGAATAAATCCACAGAAACACCTCAGTAAACCGGCAAAGAATCAGTCCATTCAGCCCAACTGCTGAATTGTTATCATTGCCCATTCAATGCTATCTGCTGTAACCTCCCCATGTGACGCTTCCACATTCTCCCAATTCTCTGTGTAAAGATTGATAATGATTTTTAACTGTAAAGAAAACTGCATTTATGTAGCGACTTTCACAACTTGAGGGTGTCCCAAAATGTTTTACAGCCTATGAAGTACTTTTGGAAGTGTTGCCCCTGTCGTAATGTCAGCTAGTTTGATTGCAACAAGGTTCCATGCTGATGATTAGCATGATGATCTGTTTTTGCTGCTATCAATTGTAGGGTAAGTGCCATCCAGAGATAGACCCAGCTGACCTTCACAATACTACTGTATGATCTTACACATCCACCAGAAAGGACAGGCAGCACCTCACTTTAACATCGGGCTTGGACCTCTGGCAGTACAGCACTCCCTCAGTACAGCAATGGAGCTGCACCCTGGATATTTGGACCCATATCATCGGATGAACGTACCATTTCCAGACATAAGCCGAACTATTGCTGGCACTTGGCCAGTTGCTCTGCAGTCAGATCCATCCTTAGCTACAAGACTGGGAAGAGAAAGCTCGCTGGGTGATCGGCAGGGGGTAGTGGGTAGAAAACATAACTCCTGTCTGTCGACTTCCATGGGAGGATGTCAGACGCCCAAAGCACCCAGCATGGGGGTATGAGGGAAATGTCAGAAGATCGGTGAATGACCCATGAATTCCTGCTGATAGACATAGGTAACATGTGAGTAAGGATCCTTAGCTTTGATGATTTTCTCAGCAACCTGGCCTTAAGGGGAATGATTATGAAGAAAGAAATGGTCAAACTGAGATAGAAGTTAAGGGGCGTTGGAGGTGAGGATATGTTAAGCCTGGAGTTAGTGTGGCTGAGCACATAGCAGGATGGTTTATAGAACCCCCAGGGTGTGGAAACAGGCCATTCGGCCCAACAAGTCTGCACTAACCCTCCAAACAGCATCCCACCCAGATTCATCCCCCCACCCTATCCCTGTAACCCTGCATTTCCCATAGCGAAAGCACCTAGACTACACATCCCTGTACACTATAGGTAATTGAGATGGCCGATCCACTTAACTTGCACATCTTTGGACCGAGCCCGATCGTGCTCGTTTACTGAGTTGGCAGAGTCTCCCAGTTTTTGCTGCTCCCATTTATGATCCCATCACTTTAAGCACCGAATTTATTTTCCTTCTGTCATCAAATGGAGTGCTCATGAACCAGAAGTGAGAGTGAATGGGAGCCCCGGAAGCCCCATATTTAACTGGTCTGAAGCAGAAGGAGGAAATAAAGCAGAAAACAAAGAGAGACCGTGTTCTTTTAGATTATCTGCATTTTAAATATTTATACCCAGCAGTGGATTGGCAGACGCCACATTCCTGATCTCGAGCACTGTTCAAAGGTTGCCCTCTTTGTAGCTGACCTCTCTGACAGGCTGTACCTCAAGCTAAACAAATAAGTGAAAAGGGGAGAAAAAAAAGTCTCTATCTAAACTTTTGGGAGCTGCTGTCAAAATTTGAAAAATGACTGAGGAAGTGCAAGTTGAGTGATTGTTTTATGACAGAGCCCAGTGGCAGGCAGGCTTTGAGAATTGGAGCTGTGCTGCTGACTGGTTTTACAGGTGCTGAGGTAGAGCTCCCTAAATCCCGGCACTGTGCACATCATGAAACACAATCTTGCTGCTCCAACCCAAACTCTATTACTCGCTTTGCAATGCTTTTCCAGACAGCGAGTCCTGCCATGTCAGACTTTGTTTGATACGGACCACGCACTTGCATCAAATTAGCAGCACAGGACTCAGGCCACTCAGCCAACTGGTGTAAGCTCCACATAATATCCCTTCCACCCTATGTCATCTTCCTTCCCCTCTCATAGAGTTATAGAGTCACACAGCACAGAAACAGACCCTTTGGTCCAACCAGTCCATGCTGAATATAATCCCAAATTAAAGTAGTCCCACCTGCCTGCTCCTGGCCAATATCCCTCTAAATCTTTCCCATTCATGGACTTAGCCAAATGTCTTTTAAAATGTTGTAATTGTACCCACATCTGCCACTTCCTCAGGAAGCTCATTCCACACATGAACCACCCTCTGTGTAAAAAATTTGTTTCTCATGTCTTTTTTAAATTTGTCTCCTCTCTCCTTAAAAATGTGTCCCCTAATTTTGAATTCTCCCATCCTAGAGAATAAAACAACTATTCCATTAACTCTATCTGTACCTGTCATTATTTTATAAATTTCTATAAAGTTGCCTGTCAACCCCTTATGCTCCAGTGAAAAAAGTCCCAGCCTATCCAACCTTTCTCGAAAGCTCATACCTTCCATATCTGGCAACATCGTCATATTTATTTAGATTTCCCTCGACAACACCTATTCTGTTCCAAACAACCATATGTAGAATGAACATTCCAACAAATGTCTGGGTCAAGAGTTTCCCTGAATTCCTGACAGGATTTATACCTCAATGCCCAGTAGTTGAATTTGGCTGATGACAATGAGGTGTCTTCTTGCAGGAACATGGCCTGGAATCTTCCAGTGACCTCCACTAGCCTTCCTACCCTGACCCCATCCCCTGGTTGGCCAGTATCTCCATCCTCACTCGGTGCCACCTTTATAAGCGATTCACTGCTCGGCTGAATAATTCCTGGCTGTCAAATGGACTTTCAACCTCAACTCTACCAGGTCCCCCCACCACCATTGCCACCTCCCCAAGTAACGTCTATAGTTTCGTCATTAATAAACAAGGGCATTGAAACCAAGGTGAGTCAATTAGCTCTGTTGGGTAGATGGCCTGCTTCAAAAGAGCTGAGTATTGTGTGCAGTTTTGGAATCCACATTATAGGAAAGATGTGATTGCATTGTAGAAAGTGCAGAGGAGATATACCAGGATGTTGCCTGGTCTGGAGAATTTAGGTAATGAACACAGATTGGACAGACTGGGATTGTTTTCCTTACAGCAGAGGAGATTGAGGGGTGGTATGATTGAGATGTATAAAATTATGACAGGAAGAAACATTTCCCCTTGA